GAAACACCAGGTGAATACCCCACTTGTCACAATAATATTATCATGCCATTGCATATATGTGGTATTTTAGAGTTGACTAGATATTGATTAAGGCAATAGACTATGGTATTCAGTACAGGAAGCTTAGCAACACCTAGACGGTGTACGGCTGCTTGCACCTCGCGTAAAACGGCGGATACCGGAAGTACGGTGTCGCGCTCGGCCCAATACCCGTATGTGTGTGTGAAAGAATGGGTGAACACATTTGAACATGAAAGCATGTAAACATGTCACAGTCAGTGCTTGAATTGGAATGAAAAAGGTGCCAGTACTCTAAAATCAGCAACTTTTTCAAGTCAATTTTATATATACAGCCCACAAACAAGAATTTGGCTACTATAATGCTGGTGGGTTTGTCTCTTTACTACTGTATATTTTAGAAAGGTTCACTGTACTTAACATTTTTTGTGATAGGCAGCAGATATGGCTAAAGCTCAGTAAGGTCAATATTAACTGAAAATATAGCAATCAAAGTCTAGATCTTCTGCTGAAGACACATGAAGCAGAGACCTTTCAGGTGAGAGCCCCTCTGGTGGTGTTCAACATTAATGACAAGGAAACAAAGCTCTGGTCAGAAGCATTTTTTATAAAAAGCTTTAACAAAATTAAGTATTTCTGTACATTTTGAATGCAATCTAACTTTCCAACTCAGAAAACGAAAAACGAAAAAGTGCCAAAAGTCTTCTCACATGGCTGAGCTGCTTTGCAATATACTTCACCACTGAAGAATACAAATATGTATAAAGTAAACTATGATGCAATCTAACTTTCCAACTCAGAAAAATGATCAAGAGCATGAACAAAGAACATGTAAAAACAAATGCAAAATTTGCACAATCTAAAATGAGAAACTGTAACTGCAAGTAACAAAGTCTGAGCCATGGTAAAGAGTTACATTGAACGCCAAGCTGATCAGATAACTCCCTGGTTGGTCTGAAGTCCTTCTATCTCCAGGATCTGTACAAATCGGCACATTATGCCAAAAGTCTTCTCACTGGGTGAGCTGCTTTGCAATATACTTCACATTGTTAGAAAAGGCTCCAGAAGGCCTTGGGGACATCAGTATCAGGGGCTGGAGCTGGACAGGCTCTTTCATCAGCACTTCTCCTTCCCTTTGCCAGCCAGGACCTCACATATTGTTCCGGATTGAACTGTCCTAGTGATGGTCCATTACATTGAATGAAAACCAGGCTGGACAGTCGGCTGACAGAGAGAGCATTCCTTTTTGCAGTAAGGATATCGTTCATGCAGCTGAATGCCCGCTCACACTCACTAGTGGAGACAGCGATGGTTCGGACTGCTTTCAGTAGAGGCTCCATGGCAGCAGGTGTACGGGATGCCCTGGTTTCCTTGTATTCGCGAAAGCCCTGAACAGTCTCTCTTCTGTCCACTTTCAGCACTTCGCACAAACGTAGCACCTCTACGTCCCCATACTGTACGTCTAACTCTTCTTCAGGCCAACTTCCAGGATGGATAACTTTCATGTCCTGGATTAGCTGATTGTCCCGGGCCTCCCGGCCATGTAATGGGATTTCTCTTGTGCTGACATGAGAGGAGGTTGTGGAAGTCATTCTGTGTCTCAGATTCTCTACCATACTGCGGAAAAACTGACCTGCATGAATCTGTACAAGCCTGCCATTCTCACGCAGGGCAACACCCTTGAAGGACTTCTCAGCTAGAGCTGTATGAACTGTAGTCATGTGTGGGCCAGGCATGGTGACCATGGATTCAAAAACTCGTATTTCTCGAGTTAAGAGCCTATCTGCTGTAGGCAGTGTCATCTCTCTTTTTTGGAGTTGCCGAGAGAGGTCGCTGAGCTCTGTGAGCGCATCGTACATCAGTCCCAGATTGCTGACAAACGTTGCAGATGTGAGCACATCATCCAGGCCCTTGTACTTTGCTCTGTCTCTGGAATCCCTGCTCGTGTCGTTTGCAGCATTTGTGAAGTGATCATGAAGCACTCGGTAGTTTTCCCAGACTGCTCTGACGCTCCTTTCACTTGAAGCCACCCAGCGGATGGACAAAACACGCCCTATCACCAGGAGACGCTGTCCGACTGCTTGCGCACACTGCGCTAACTGCCTCTGATTTTTGGGGGAGGCATGGAACAAGGAATAGAGTTTGTCAAAAAAGATCTGGAAATGATTGAGCCCTGAGACCTCCTTGACCACATCCCCAACTGCCAGCTCTAGACGATGATTGGAGCAGTGCCACACAAACAGGCTTGGGAATTTACTACACAACTGGGTAGCAACGCCTGTTCTCTTCCCTAGCATGACTGAAGCCCCATCACATGCAAAAGAAACGAAACACTGACCTAAAAAGTCCTCGTTAAAATCTCTTCCAAGACACTCCATTAACGCCTTTGTGATGTCATCAGCCGTTGTTCCATCCAACTCGATCAGCTCCCAAAAAAACGTTTCGGGCTCAGCATCAGCTAATGCTGAGCGTAGACACACAACAAGCACCGTTTTACTACTAATAGTGGTAGATTCATTGACCAAAACACAGAGTTTTCTTTGGTTTTCTGTAATGTCTTTTGCCATTTTTTTCTTCAGCTCATGAGCTATGTGGTCGATGATTTCGCCACAGGTTTTATTGGAGTGCAAAACCCTGCCCACGTTCAGCCCATTCAGTTTCTGTACATTCAAATCAATTGGCATGTCTGTGAATGGCCGGCTATGTTTGCCAATTTTATATGCCGTTCGAAAAACTCTGATAGTGGTGTCTAATTCAGATTTATGCATAGACTGCACTTGATGTTGAATAGTTTCACGTGAAGCAGATGTAAGGATGTCAGCAGCTTTTACATGGGCTTGTGATTCTTTATGTTCTTTGATTTTTTTTCTCAGGCTAGCTTGTTGTTTGCCCTTGTCAACACCGAAATGAGACACTGCACACTCACCCCATTCAGTTGACAGTTTCAGTCTTTGTCCAGTGTGTATTCCCAAAGATTTGACATCTCTGCATATCCGACATCCTAGCTTCTTATCTTTAAGAAGGAGCCATGCATTGGTCTTGCAAAAATATTGCACCTTGTCCGTTGTCCAGCAGTCAGGTGCATCGCTTTGCCCGGTGTTGGTGGTGGCAGTTGAGCCAGCAGCAGCTAACGTTAGAGGCTCTGGAGGAGGCGGCGGAGCTAGTGCTAATGCTAATGCACTAGAACTTGGAGCAGGAGGATCAACCAAAGAAAGCTCCCCATCAGACACAATTTCCAACACAGGCACAGCATTCTCTGTATTTGAAGTTTCTTCCGGCGACAACCGGTGTCTTTTTGCACTTTTATTAATCCACGCTAACATTTTAGAAATGCTAATTTGTGACGTGACTTGCTTTCCTTCTCTCGGGGGCGTGCCTGCTCTGTTCTATCACTCTACATAGCCACCCACTGGGTGGGAGTTGCGCTGCATAAACACAACACACGTGCATCTAGGTATGTAAATTGTAAAGCATTAAAACATGGTTTTACTAACAGTTTTCAGTATGTTGTTACTTCGGCATTATTATTATTATTATTATTTTGAAACGTGTATTACTATTAAATCACGGTCAAATAGGTTAATTTTGACATAGTCGTTTCCACCACAGTATTTACATGGAGAAGATACGCCCCGCCCCCTCTCCAGCACGTTCTGTTTGAATGACAGGAGTAAACAGCTGACAGCCGCTGTGAAACTCCAGCGGTTAGAGCGATGAGAATGTCCGTTCGGCACCTCATGACGCATCTACTGAGTACCGGGCGGCTGTATATATATATATGGATGTATAATAAGAACGGCGGGAGAGTGTTGAGTACTGGCACGGTGCATGAGTACCGGAGTACCGCCAGCATGCCGGTACTGAGCAAGAAGTGCCGGTACTCCATGGGTCAGAACCAGAAGTGCCGGTACTGCGTACCAGTGAGTACCGGCCCAATTCCAGCACTGTGACTCACAGTGGAGGCAAAACACACAAATATGAACCTGAAAATGAGCAGAACATGGACCCTTTAACTTGTTGATACCTACGTTATGTTTTCACAGTGTGTGCGCATTCTCAACATGCCTGCTGGTCCGTGTGGTAAGGTCAGTTTTTATAAAATGATAACCTGCCTCTTGTGTGTATATATAAATTTAACGGGTAACCACTTTTTACATTTAGCTTTTGTTGTTTCCATTTTGTCCAATTGTCTTTTGAAAAGCATTTTGGTCACAGTGAGTGGGTGTTCCAAAATAAAAACAGCAACACAATTATAGACTGCCATGAGAAAAATACATATACAATACTTTTGTATCATTATCCGGTGTTTGACCGTGACACATTAACATGTTCAGTGCTGCGACCTGGTGAACACAGTACCTTGTTGAGGGCCTCTTGGCTGTAGTGTCGTATCCCCTCCTCATACTCCCACCACCAGTCGTTGCCTTAAGAGATAAACATCTTTTACTAATCCAAACTGTTCAACTAGCCTAATAAGCCAGTTCTTAACACATGTTCATTGTTTAAACTGTCATTTACAGCAGAAAAAAAGTATTTTTTAGAAAGCATGTCGGTGTTTACTTATATAAATGTATTTTTTACAATATTATGCACACTATAAACACTGTCTATTAACAGGCCCTGTTTTAGAGGCAGTTCAATGGTAAATAGGCACACTGCCCTCCTGCTTGTTCTAGAATTTACCTTTGACACAGCAGGACATGATCATACATGTTGCCACGGCAATCCAAAGCCGCTCCATAGTGCGTACGGACCAGTCAATGGGTTCCCCCTACACACTGCACAATGTGATGCTCAGCAGTACAGTCACTTTGACCCCCACCCTCTAAAGCTGAGTGACAAGCTGGGGGTCCACTGAGAGCCAACTATCAACGTCAGCAAAACAAAACCCAACACAAAATAACAACATTTCATAGGTTTTCCATAAAGTTTGTGAAGAACTTATCTTTTATACCAAACAATAAAGAAAACATTCACATCCATTAAATATCCATATATCATTTATTAATTTCTTTATAAACTTGTATTTGTGATGGTAAAAATGCAGTCTTGTCGACAAATTGAGAACTGTGTGTAGTATCTATGTTCGGAATCATTTCTCATCATGGTCCCTTTTTTACTTCATGCAGACATATGGGCGGATCACCTCTCAATAACCAACAACAAGCACGTACTGTGGAGCTGAACACATGGACTAAACTAAACTGAAAGAAAACTGCATGTGGCAAAATTAGAAGTCCCTCATGTTGTTTGGATAAATACTGTACGGCCTAAACCATGGCTTCATCTCTCAGAGTCCATCTGAGCTGAAAAGTGTAGGCAGAAATCCAACTTGGACTTTTGGTGAGGGGGTGGAATATTCTCACAAGTTATGTAACCAAACACACAGAAAAAAAAGTATCCACAAACAATTCAGAGTTTGAGGCGCTGCTTTCTTTAAGGCTGCTCCAATTTCTGCTAGTTAATTCTTAATAAACTAAAAAGAAGGCGGAAACGGGTTGAGAGAAATCATTGATATGACGACTACTAGAATGAAAATAAAGCCTGTTGATTAAATAAAATAGTAATTCATTTCATTTCACTGTGTAGATCATATTTCATTTGTTTTTTTATTCTTTTAAATATTTAAAAAGCCTATGTTCTATGATTTCACTCCCCAAAAAGACTCATTCATTTTGATCTGCATCTAGGATGAGGATTAAGCAGCTTCTCCTTCTTTGTATCTGCCATTTTGTAACACACTTCAACCCGTGTGCTCAGTATTAAATCATCTATCCTGCACAGATATCCTATCCATTAAAGTACACTGCTTTAGAGGTTACTCGCTCTCATTCTAATGATAATCACATGGCTTTAAAACATTTGAGCACATTATGTTAAATACATTTTCCTTTCTTCTTATTGCAGGTGTAAAAAGGTAATGACCCGACATATCAACTAAACAAATAACCCATTATTGCGATGCAAATTGGTTCACTCTGATAAAGAGTGGCTAAAATGAAAATGTTCAGACGACACATGCAAAAACGTTCTTTACCAACTAGCAAATAAAAATGATCTGAATTGACATTTTCCTGCCTGATATTTTTTTTCTAAATTAGGATTGAGGCAGTTCCGCTGAGTGTGATTTCCTCCAACAAAAAAAACAAAAAAAATGGGAAAGTGCGAAGAAACTAACGCACATTTTAGATTCCAACTATTTTGATTAGTCCAAACGTCCTTTGATCTGGCAACCAAAGAGCTGTTTGTCATGGTGAGAGCACAGGTGCTTCTTCTGGCAGTGTCCTGAGTCACAGACTAGCAAGTCCCAAGTCTGTGTTATCCTCCCCCAGCACTCTGTTCTGTCCAGAAACACCCCCGCTGTCTCTCTTCAGCACAGGACCAGCTCATTTTAAAAGGAGAGAGGGAGATGTGGGACTGCAGAGCTCAGCAGTCACTATCTGTCAGCTGTGGAGCGAAGAGAGGCGCTGAGGCTAGCAGGTATTCAGCTAGTGAGCGCCATCTGCTCCACGGAGAGTCTCTCACTGCCCTCGCTCCGGCTGGCCTCCTCTCACTGCTGCTCCTCCTGCTCCTCCTGGGCCGGGCCCTGGGCGTCCCCCTGGGCGTCCCCCTGGTCCTGGGGCTCGGCCTGGGGTTGCGATGGCTCTTGAGGGGGTCTGGGAGGAGGCGGGGGCGCAGGGGCGGGGGCAGGGGGACGAGGGGGAACTATGATTTGGTGCTGGCGCTGCCTGTAGGCGATGACCGTGCCCAACAGCAGGGCGATGACCGTCATGAGGTAGAGGTCCCACTCGGGGCCCAGCAGCTGGTCCAGGTCCACCTCAGTGATCAGCTCCTTTAACTGACAGGGGGAGAGGGAGGACAAAGACATTTCATTTCCCTCTAAGGAAGTGGCTTTTAACTCGGTTGCATTAACATTAAGGGTTTATTTTTAAAAAGCCAAATTGTCCCAGCTCCAGCGTGAGTACTCACATTAAGATCACTCACATTGAGATCCTGCAGGTACTGCAGAGTGTAAACCAGGCCCAGCTTGCACAGAGCCATGAACACCGGGACCTGAGCATCAGGACTGGCTTCAGCCGCCATGTCGTAGAAACGCTTGGCTAAATGGATGTCCTGCAAAACAACAAGAAACAATTCTCATCATCAATTTCTTTCTAGTATATTTGACAGCATGCAGAGATGTTTTTGTAACTTTTCTATTAGGGAAAATTGAAATGGTATGGTCAAAGAAAAAAATGGACCAATCAATAACACACATTTCCTCAAAAGCTGCACCAAGAGAAAAGGACCTTCTTGTTGTAAAATACTAAAGAACTTCAGCATTGACAACATAATGTGTGTGTTGGTGTGTGTGCATGTATGTGTCTCGCTGGGATGTTATGGTGTGTTCTGCTGTATGGAAATTTGACTGGAAAAATCTGATTTCTGAGACAGACCAGACATGAACAATAATGTGATGAGTGATTATGAGTCAACCATTGAAAACCATCTGATGTGTTAGAGTCCCAGTGCGGCTCTGTTCCCACCTGTTTGATGCCCAGCCCCTTCTCATGCATGTACCCCAGGTTAAACATGGCCTGGGCGCTGTGCTGCTGCTCGGAGGCCAGCCTGTAGTGGATGACCGCCGTCTCATAGTCCACGTCCGTCCCGTAGCCGTAGAAATGGTAGTCTCCTAGTTTTATCCTCGCCACAGTGTAACCTGGGAATGAGAATTGTTTTTTTTAGCAGCCAGGTTCAACTCCTTTTTGTAATGTTAACCAATTATACATGGATTCCAAACTTTGTGAGTGTGTGTGTGTGTGTGTGTGTGTGTGTGTGTGTGTGTGTGTGTGTGTGTGTGTGTGTACTCACCTTGTGCCGCAGCTCGGGTCCAGTGGAGCAAAGCACGAGGGTAGGTCTCATTCTCAGTGAAGATCCTCACACCTTCTGTGCGTTACAATTCATAGAAATAAGAAAGGTTAGGATGTTGTTGCTTCTCCCATAGTTGTTGGCGTGGCAACTGTTTTAGGGAGTTTGCATGATGAAAAACACACAATTTGCCCCAAAATTGGTTTCACTAAAGCAATGTTGCTGCTGCATACCAAGAAGCTAACCAACTCTGATTGTTTAAAGAATGTTTGCTTATAGAAACGTTTTTTAAACTGTTTGAGAATCAGAATTCTATATTTACTCTGGAGGAAATTGGTTTTCATAAAACATAATTCATTGTTATAATAAAATGTTTGATGAATAAGAGAATGTGCAATAAAAAATTAAATAAAGATATATATAAACAAAGGGAGTTCAAGTAAAAATGTGCACATTGTACTACAATACATAACCTGTTTTTTACACTATATATAGTAGTGTCTTATTAAGATATTAATGCTGAATGAACAGTTTAAAATGATTTTGCTGCTAGTGCCAATCTATTGACTTGCGCCTTATGCACATATCATGGGATTTGAACTAAAACACAATTCCTTTCCTTCCTGCCATGATACCAATGTCCTGCTCTCTCTTACTCTGGTCCAGGATGAAGGCCACGTTGCTCTGGGCGACCTCGTAGCCCTGCTCAGCCAGCAGCAGGTACTGCACCAGCGCGGCGTCCGGCTCTCCCTCCTTAAAGCTGCCGTAGGCCGACATGAGACGCTCTGACCAGCGGCCGCGCTCACACACGTTCTTGAAGAGCTGCAACAGAGATACACACACGTGGTATGACACAACAAAAATCGGGGTCTAAGCAACAGCGGAGTCACATCCAACAGAGAGTATATATAATTATAATCACCTCCACAGCTGTGTGGCAGGAGCGCATCACTCCGGTACCGGTGGCGTGCATCTGGGCCAGGTTGTAGAAGGCCAGGATGTGACCCGCCTGGGAGGCCAGGTTGAAGAATTTAAGCGCCTGCTTGTAGTCACGCTTCACACCAATGCCATCTGAGGAACGACAGGAAGAGGAGGATTAAAAACAGTGGATCAAATGAAAGTGTATATCATAAGAAGAAATTCAAGAGAAAGAGATCGAGGGCCGCCAAATAGAAACTGGTTATTCAATCTTCAGATGCAGTTCAATATTTACAGCAAGCAGACGCTATGAAGAGGCCGTGACACATTGTGTACCACAAACACAAGTAAGCACTCACTGTAATACATGGTGCCCAGCTGCAGCTGTCCGTCCACCCAGCCCTGCTCTGCTGCCTTCTGGAAGTACTTCAGGGCCAGCTCATAGTTCTGAAGACACACATCACACACACTTTCAAACATCTCTGATTTTAGCAAGAGGGAGTAGCTTCCAGGTGAGCAACACAGAGTAAAGGCTTAGAATCAAAAGTGCATAATAAACGTAGACATGATTTAGAAAAGGATTGTATTGTGTAAAGTTGCTTACCACCGGTACACCTCTTCCATATAGGTAGGCCATGCCTAAGCCACTCTGTCCCACTGGATTACCCTGGATTTGAAAAGAAATGTAAAAAAGCACGAGTTAATTAAAAAGGAATGCATCCAAGATATTAATGATAGTGAATCACAACTGAATAACATATCAGCTAAGAGTTCAAAGGAACAGAAACCCGTTTTCTCTTGAATAATAACTGTCATTATAACGCTCATACAAACACTAAAAGGGTACATTTTTGATGGTGTATTGAGGCCATTCAAAGGTAAAGAAATAATAATTAAAACTGCGGTCACAGAAGTGCGCGCAGTGAGGGTCGCCGGTCGTCCCGGCGTCAAGCAGAAGCGCGCGAGTCCTCCCAAATGAGCCGTTTCTCATTTCTATAATGTTCGCGTCCCAGACTCCCAGGTCCTCCGGCAGCAACCCGGAAACGGATGTCGGCGGGCCGTCTCGAAGGAAAACAAATTTCTCTAAAGGCTCGTCAAGGATCGATTATCGAGGAGGCTGTCTGGAGGAGGCGTAACCGAGGATACACTGATTTAGAGGAGAGAGGAGTGTCTCTGGAGGAGCTATAACCGAGGGTACACTGATTTAGAGGAGAGAGGAGTGTCTCTGGAGGAGCTATAACCGAGGGTACACTGATTTAGAGGAGAGAGGAGTGTCTCTGGAGGAGCTATAACCGAGGGTACACTGGAGTATTCTCCTGAGACGATTTCAGCCAACAGTGATGTTTAAAAGAGGCGTGACGCATGGCTGGACTTATGTCAACGAAGCACAGCTCTGCAAACTGTTCCTGTTGTGATTATAAGTTATTTAAGATGATCAAATGTGCATCAGACTTTCTGCCCTTTAACGTTTGTTTACTCACTAATCACATGTCCCCTGGATTTTAGGCTATTTATTATACAACTGCTTTCATTGTGAGGCGATGTTTACAGTAAGAACAGCTGCTGAGGTCAGTGCAGAAAGCAGAACAGTGTGTATAACATATATCGCTCAATAATATATGTACCAGGCCTACATTTCACACTTTATTTGTAGGCTTTAGGAGATATCTACAAATAAACAGTAGGGTTAGGGAGTGTATAGGTGTCTGTTGTAATGAATATGCCGCCAGCAAAGGGCGTTGTTGGACCTATTTTGTTCACATTATATAAGCTTCCGTTAGGCAATATTATAAGGAATCATTCTGTAAACTTTCATTGTTATGCGGATGATACTCAACTATATTTATCAATCAAGCCTGATGAAATTAATCATCTAAATAAAATTCAAGACTGCCTTAAGGACATAAAAACGTGGATGACCTTAAACTTTTTGATGTTAAGCACGACCAAAACTGAAGTTATTGTACTTGGCCCGAAGAATCTACGAAACAAATTATCTAAGGATATACTTACTATGGATGGCATTAGTTTGGCCTCCAGTGAGACTGTAAGGAATCTTGGTGTTATATTTGATCAGGATTTATCCTTTAACGCCCACATAAAATCAATTTCAAGGACCGCCTACTTCCATCTACGTAACATTGCAAAAATCAGGCATATCTTGCCTCAAAACGATGCAGAGAAACTAGTCCATGCATTTGTTACTTCAAGGCTGGATTATTGTAACTCCTTATTATCAAGGTGTACCAAGAAGTCAGTCAAGTCGCTTCAGCTGATTCAAAATGCTGCAGCTCGTGTACTAACCAGAGTTAGGAAAAGGGACCACATTACTCCTGTTCTGGCTGCCTTACACTGGCTCCCTATAGAACACAGGATAGAATTTAAAATTCTTCTTCTCGCCTACAAAGCCCTTAATGGGCAGGCGCCATCTTACCTTAAATAACTCATTATACCCTACTGTCCTACTAGGGCATTGCGTTCCAAGAATGCAGGGTTGTTGGTTGTTCCTAAAGTCTCTAAAAGTACAATGGGAGCCAGAGCCTTTTCTTATCAAGCTCCACATTTGTGGAATCAGCTTCCAGTTTGTGTTCGGGCGGCAGACACCCTATCCGTTTTTAAGAGTGCGCTTAAGACCTTCCTTTTTGATAAAGCTTATAGTTAGGGCTGATTAGATTCAGCCCCTAGTTTTGCTGATATAGGCTTAGTTTGTCGGGGGACATCTTACTTCTTCCTTCTCTCTGTCTATACCTGTGTATTCTCATGTTCCGATTAACCCAGCTTCCCCAAATTTCTTTCTTTTTGGTGTCTATATACGCCGGGATCCGGAGTCATAGATGATCCTGCGGTCCTGTGTCCTGCATCGCGAGCCCTGGATCTTGAGTCGTGGCTGTGGTCCTGGATCATAGGTCCTGGATGGATATCCTCGTGGATTAATCTTCCTATTATACACACATGCATTTCCAAACATTTGGACTACCTATGTTGCAAATGTATTATCTTTTCAATTTACACACGGCATCTATTGCACGTCTGTCCGTCCTGGGAGAGGGATCCCTCCTCTGTTGCTCTCCCTGAGGTTTCTCCCATTTTTCCCTTTAAAACTGTGGGTTTTCTCCGGAAGTTTTTCCTTGTACGATGTGAGGGTCTAAGGACAGAGGGTGTCGTATTGTCATACTGATATTCTGTACAAACTGTGAAGACCACTGAGACAAATGTAACATTTGTGATATTGGGCTATATAAATAAACATTGATTGATTGGACTAACAGTAGGTGAGTGTGTGTGTGTGTGTGTGTGTGTGGGAGTTGATGTGCCAGACAGACAGGCATGTCTCAGTAGCTTATCTGACATATAAATGGTCAAAAATTCTACATTCTCCGTTAGCCTACGAGCTCCCCGTTCGAGCGAAGGACTATTCCTTCTCAATGTAGCATGACATTGGATATGCGCTGGAATTTTTCCAAACATTTCCCTAGGAGGAGTTTGCAAAAATGTGCTTAAAATGCATGAAAAAGTCACATATTTGAAAATTGCCGAGTTTTTGGGGGGCGGGTCTAATGGAAGGCAATTTGAAATATGTCCAGATTCATAAGAGCAATGTGTATACAGCTTTTCGTGAATATCGGAAAACTATATGCGAGTAGTTTGGAGTAATTTGGAGTAATTTGTGGCATGTAAATCGTCAAAAATGGAACATTCTCCGTTAGCTTACGAGCTACTCGTTTGAGCGATCAACTATTCCTTCGCAATTTAGCATCACATTGGATATGGGCTGAACTTGTGCTGGATAGGAATTTTTTCGATCATCTCCCTAAGAGGAGTTTGCGAAAATGTGCTTAATTAAAATGGCCGACTTCTTGGGGGGCGGGGCTAATGGAAGCTAATTAGTAATATGTCCGCAATTCCATGAGGAATGTCTTTGCCAACATTTGTGAAGTTCTGAGAAACTATATGTGACTACCACACAATAGGGGGCGCTAGTGAGCAGTTTTTTTGAAGAATTACGTTTTCTTTTTACATTCTTGAAAAGGTCGTGGGCTGTGACGTGTGTCCCAAGTTTTTCGTCCGAAGCTCATTTTATGCTTTCGCAATTTAAAAAGTGTATAGGCCACGCCCACATTCTGCATTTGTTGTGACCCTTTTAATCTCAGTTTGTCCCCAGAGTATGTCTAAAAAAAAATTAAAAAAATTCGTCCATCCGTTCTTGAGTTATAAATTGGTGATGTTTTTGGCACCCCCTATAGTCCAAAATGAAAATGATTTGGTGTGCCTATTCCCCAAGACAGACTGAACCTATCCATCAAAATCTGTGATGTTTGGATACATTGTTGATGAGTTATGAGCATTTCTTTCTAAGCCCCGCCTTTTTGCGAGTACGTTTTGATTAATGGCGGCAATATTTATCGTCTGAACATGCTCATTTTCTACGGTAATGTGTCTGACCCTCCAACGATGCTGTATACGAAGTTTGGTGTGGAAAAACAAGAAATGTAAATGTAAGTGAATATTTCTCTGTTTTGAAAATTATGCTAATTAAAAAAAAGTGTGCAACATTTCAGGAGTTACGGTGCGACATTGTAAATTTAGCAGGTTGGAATATTTAACCCATTGACTCCAGAATATCACATTTTTCACCGGTCCTGGTGTCCGTGCAAAAGTGTACAAATAAGCATTGCAATATGGAATAAGAATAATAAGAATAATACCTAGGATAACAATAGGTTCCTTGCACTTCGTGCAAGGACAGCGTTGGGTCCTAGCGCTCCGTGCTCGGGCCCTAATAATTCAGAGCTTAGATCGTGTAAATTCAAGATTAAAATCTTAAAGTTACGAGTAAAGAACTTGGATGTTAACCGAGATTCCATTGATACATTTATGAGAAGAAACGGAGAATTTGAAGTGAAAGAATATTCTCTGAAATTCTGTTTACACATTCATAAGAATAAAACTAGGAAATAAGTTCGTATTTTTTTAAAGAAACCGAATTGCTTTCCATGCAAAGTAGCATCAGCCTAATTACAACCCGATTTTAGGAAAAACCACCATTGTTTCAAGTGTCTTATACTTTACATTTTTCTTTCTGCAACATTAATCTCTCATTATTCAAGATTTCTTTCTCTTTAAATGTCAAGTCCATTTTTGTTTATTTCTTCAATTTTGGTTTCGCTACAATGGTGGTGTAAATGACCCAGTTCAGATTAACATAGCAGCGTGAGTGCTCACCAGGTCAGAGGCCTTCTTAAAGTACTGCAGGGCTGTCTCGTTGTTCTGATGGAGATACTCGCTGCCTTCAGAGTACATCTGAAAAGGACACAAGGAGGGACAGATTAAATACAAATGCACTGCACCGCCCTCTAATAAACAGAAATGCCAAATCATCTCAGCAATATTTATGTTGGATTGAATATCTTGGGCTGCATCTCTCTGCTCTCCGACTCGCTGACTCGCTCTTATTCAGAATTGGAGACTTATTCATAATGTTTGCAAACTCAGAAGTGAAACAGATTGGTATAGAGAGGCGATTTTGGACAAGCTGAAGTTTGTGTTGTTATGGTAAAGAAACAATGTTGAGCTTGCTTGTCAGTGTAAAAGAAAACAACTGTAACTAAGCTGTCATTACAAACTCGTAAATCAACCCATCACCCTCCCACAGGCTGATAGAGACACAGATCTCACCCACCTTGCCGAGGAAAGCCATAGCGTGTGTATTCCCTGCATTTGCAGCCTGTGTGAAGTAGTCGTACGCCCTCTGTTGGAGAGGAGGCATCAGAAATACATTAAACGGTGCAAAAACAACAAGAACAATAAATTATGTTTTTATTATTTTATGTACCTGATGATTCTGTTCTACTCCGCGTCCTCCATGCAGGTGTAGCTGACCTAACCCCACCTATCAGGGGACACAAAGCACTTGGTTAACTTGTAAGTGAAACATGATTAGTTACATAGATGTGAAAATCCCATTTCAGATTGACCATTAACATTCACACAATGACGCCTCGTTTTTCCCAATTAAATATATGTAATATGGGTTTCAAATATGTATATTCTGACCAAATATTAACTTTCTTCATGACCAATATCAACTGCTGCCCAGCTTCCTTACCATGAGATAAATTCACTGTCAGAAGACACTCCGAGACCAGGTCAAAGTTAGAATTTAAATATACAAAATACAAGGCTACACAATGAGGCTCCGCATTGCACAGTTACATTTCTTTATCTGAAGTTCTAGAAATGGCTTCAGATGTATTGATCGTTTCTTCTCAACAACTAACCCCGATACGACCACTACATTTGATTCAGATCCCTGCATTGCATTGAACAAACACTCATTGGTGATACGATAGTTTACCTGAGCCTGCACGTCTCCTTTCTCAGCTAGAAACTGATAGTACTGGATCAGGTCCTCCTCCAACATCCCGCTGGTGGACCCCGGGTTCTCCACCTCATCCAGCAGCCGGATCCTCTGCACCGCCGAGCCCCCCGTCAGAGACACGTCACTGGCCACTGGAGGCGGGGAGGGGGAGAAGAGGAGGCAGGTGGAATAGAAAGAGTGATGAGCCCAGGAAGAGACGTCACACCTGAATATCTTATTATATCATTGGATTAGATGCTCACCTTGATTTGCCACCAGCCTGTAGTGTGTCAGTGCTGACTCACAGCTCTGAGGAACACCTACACCTCCCCAGTATCTGTATCCCTAAGGACAAGATAAAAGGAATGTCATTTTACCATACTTAGGAAATAACGACAATGAGTCCTTGCTCCACTTAGAAAATAAACTCACCAGGATCATATGGGCTACCAAGTTTCCACCCAGAGCGCCGAAAGTGTAGTAAACCAGGGCCTGGCACACAGAGAATGTAGGAAATATGTGAGGAATGGTTAGAAATTGAGCAATTGTATTACATTATTTTACAGTTTTGTCCAAAGTAGACGGATCAGTTATACAGATTCTAAAGTACCTTAGCCTGACTGGAATTAACTCCAAGTCCTGCTGCGTACAGAAAGCCAAGAGCCTGTGGAAAGGTAAACAGAGCACCATGTTACACAGCTGACTGAGGTCAAAATGGCTTGCAATATCTTTTCCAAGTGACACCTTAACATGTTTATGCGAGATCTTTACCGTCTGGGCTTTAGGCGAGCCTTCTATGGCGAGCTTCTCAAACATTTCTCTGGCCATGGTGACGTTTTGGCTCAGGTAGTCTCCAAACAACATGGCGTACCCCACCTTCTCCATGGCTTTCTGGTGGCCTTTATCCGCTATCTTCAGCAGCTTCTCGTACAATCTGAAAGAGCGGATGTAGAAGCAGAGGTGGTGTGAGTAAAGGCAGATTGACACAGGCATAATACAAATCGTGTGTACATTAACAGAACCATGATGAGATCTTAAGCAAACAAGGATGTGCCGGGCTAAGTCTCGTGCTAATAAAGCACACATAAAACAGGTATGGCCTAAACAACTCCTATAGTGTTGTTTCAACTTGAATTATTTCATAACACCATTTATTATACACATATCCAAATGTTTGTACACAAATATAGACTATATGAAAAGAGAATATTCAAAAGCTTGACAAAAGCAATAGAAACTCACTCTTTCTTCTGGGTCCTCCTGGTGGTGGCGTTGAGCATGCGCAGCACCGTCAGGTACTGCTCATCCGTCTCCTCCACCTGCAGTCGCTGCTGCGCCTCCTCCTCCGCTGAGGGAACACAAGAGAAGCCAATGAAGAATGCAGATTACAAATAAATACGTTTTCAAGTCTTTGGTAGTGAAGAGGGCAATAGTCATTCAGAAAATGAAACCAAAGAAGGTTCTTAAAGGCTTTTCATTTGATGAGGAAATAAATATTAGTAAACAGTTCTAAATATTTATTTTCATTGGGACTTCAAAATACCGGCTATCATTTGGGATATAGCAGCTAAGGTATTAGGTTCACTTACTCTCACAGAATCCCCACTTCTTCTCATAGTCATAGTGGTACTTGGTGGCGCACCACAGCCGCCCATCCCCCCGTCCGTCAGTGGTACAGTCCGAGTACTCCTTGTCCATGAAGCGGAAGGGGAAGATGCAGGGCTCTCCATGGGATGTACCACCATTCACCACAGGAACTGTATGAACAAAATATAAAATGACATGTAAGAAAAAGACAAAATAACTGGATGTTTTATGAAAACATGTAAACATTTATTAAAAATATAACCCTGTGGGGTACATTTGAAATATTATAAATGATTGTTTTAACCAGGATTGCATGTCACATCTCAAATATTGTTGTTGGCCTAGGAATCTCTGTACTGTATAAATCATTAACAAATAATTCAAGGTAACTGCTTTTTTGGGCATATAAAGACCATTACCAAGAGGTGGGTAGCTGGGTATAACTTTATCAAGCCTTCTTTTCTCAACATAAAAATATTGTTATAACAAACCACCCATTTCTCTGGATAAAGGCTTTGGATGGCAGGGTTTGCCCTTCTGCCCCATCTGCCATATACAAATGTTTATGGCAGATATGCATGGTTTGTGCGACAGACATTGGAAGTGTGAGAGGATTTAGACTATAAAACAAGAATGAAACAAGAGGGAAATCCCCCAATGCAAATTGTCCTGTGTTTTTAGAAACATACTATAATAATAATAATAATCAAGATACTCAAATAGACTATGCTGTGATATCCAATACAATGCTCTGTATATACACCTTTTCTCCCCCCTCCTCCTGTGTGTCTGTTTGTTTTATTTAGTTTGAAATAGTTTGTATTGAGTGCAAATAAAACTCATAATTGTAAAAAAAAACACAAATACTGTTACCATGTCTGCTGTGCTTATTTTAATTCCATGAAACAATAATTGGAGATGAATAGATTCAAATGAATCAAACAAAGTCTGTTAATGCTAATAACTGCAGGTAAATGCCCATCTTACAAGCTCATTCGTTTATGTGTGTGAGATGCTAGCAGGAAGCTGACAAACAATCCCCAGGTAAAATGATGTAACTGTCTGCAAGAGGAGCCACAGGTGCGAGGCGCTGTTAATTTCTCAGGGGGTTTAACCGTGTATCCAATCTGCCTCTGCGCTGGAAACCACACACACACACACACACACACACACACACACACGCACTTCGGCTCAGAGTCAGCAAAAGTGAAACAGGTCAACATTCACAATACTCAACAACTCTTCATCCGTAAAAACAGATTCTTATTATAACTATGGGAAGCCTTAAAGGATAGACAACAAAAAACCTGCTTTAAAAGCATCAAAAATAATAATAAATGTATTTTAGTATGTATCCTGTCCTTTTTATACCTGCAACTGCATGTTGAAAGGTCTCAAAGCTGCTCCACTATTCCATCTGTTCCTTGCTTTAAATGGACAGGCAAAAACCACTACTCAAAAGCCGGTGAGCTAACAGTGACAGAAGAAATGCCAGCTCATGTCTCGCACAGACATTTCAAAAGCCAAGAAAAACATACCATCGCCAAGAACAAGAGCATGTGTTCGGTAGTTAAAATACAGAGGTTCAAATTCAGTTCACAACATTCAGGGTAGCACGTTTAAAAAACACAACTACTTATTGTCATTATATTGACCTATTGCAATATGAAACACGAATTTGGGGCTATTAAATGTTTTGCATCATTATTATCAATGACATTTATAAAATATATATTAAATGATTATGGTCTGTAGAATATAGTTTATATTTAGCCTTTAACAAATATTGTACTTCCTGCAATCTGAATATTGCACTTTTATTTTGATCAAAAATCCATTCGTTGTGCAGCCCTACAACAAATTGCACTCAACATTAAGCCATGTTTAAGCATTCTGCATACTTGGTTGAACTGAGTGCAAAGCTAACTACTAAAGCTCTGTTGCTGCACCTAATGAAGCATTTAGAGTTTATCGTTTAAGATACATTTTCAGTCCTTACTCTCTTTGGGTTTCTCCTCAACAGGAGGAGGCTGCTCAGGCAGGTCCTCCTTCTCCTCTCCCTCAAGTCCTTCCTCAGGTGACGGTTTCTCCTCTTCTGGCTGCGAGATTTCATGACGAGAGGTCACAGAGGCACCGGCCACAACCTCCCCTGCCAGGCGGACGTCTTCCTCTTCACCGTCTGGGTCATGGTAAGACTGGAGAGATGACCGAGATGTTATTATAAAGGAAACCGGAAATGCAGGTTGTGTACAGGTTCTGATACTGCAGTCGTGGATGGTTGTGTTACAGAACAATTGATGTACAGGTAATTTGCTAACTTAACATTTACTGAAAGTTATTTCTGGTAAACTTGTTGAATATGTATTGAATCGGCTTAAGTTGATATACTTGATGGCAACTCCTTAGAAATATTACAGGTAATATTTGCTTGCAACTGTAGAAGTTAATCTGTACACACATATTAATATGTTGTAATTGTATACAAAGTTAGCCCCCTTTTCCTCGTCCTTTAATGTACCAGGATATCCATGTAGCTATGATGGTTTTTTACACTAAAAATGTCATAAGCTCTTATTACGGCCTCAAGTGTTTCTCCTTTACATTGTTAACATATGCAAGTGACAGTTCTAAGACTTTTACATTATCAAGGGAAGATAATAATAGATTATGTGCAGATTTCAATCTTAAGGTTTTTTTTGGATGCAGATTAAACAGTGAAAAATACCAGTTTTCTGATGGTTGAAAAGACTAAAAGAAGAATCTTTTTTCAGCAATACAATTGTATTCACAACACCACAAGTTGTTGTTGTTTATCTTTTTCAATTAATTGTTTGTTTCAGTTGCGTAATTGCCAGGTCATATTCACATAACCCTAACAAATGAGAAACAGATCACTGGATTTCAAAGCTGCTTAACAGAAGCACACTCCAACAACATACAGATTAGGGCTGCACGATATATCGTGTCGTGACGATAATCGCGATATTCACATCGCAGGACGTGCGATTTTTTTTTATTATTATTTTTTATATATATATATTTTTAGGATGTGCGATATTAAGTAGGCAAATTAACTCAAACACGTCATGTTACAATTATTTTTGCTGCTTGCTACAAAAGGAAAACTCGCGCGGCTCATGTCAGCGGTACTTGAGTGAGTGACATGCAGGCTCTGCATGCACAGCAAACCACAATCAAATCTCCAAAGCAAACGGACCCGGTGATTAAAGGTAAAAACACTGAATAAAGTAGTTTCATGTGTTTCTCCAGGGCAGTTCGGCGCTGCTAACCGAGCTAGCTCAGCTTGTTGCTCTGATAACTTAAGATCCAGACATCCATGACTAAAATCCTTCATCCGGTTAAATATTGTTGAAAAAAATACTAATTGTATATTATTAAAGTTCAAGAAAGGATGGTTTGTGAAAAAAAACATTAAAAAACGGTCTTTTCTTCAATTCCTGTATGTTTTCATATCGCAATATATATCGCAGGGGGGAAAAAATCGCAATGTCAGTTTTTTCCAATATCGTGCAGCCCTAATACAGATGTACCCGTGTTTTGTTTTGTACTGTGTTAATTGGTAATTATGTGATGAAAGAATATATTGTGTCTTATCTCCAAATGTTTCGAAGAGTTGGAGACACAGGTATATATTAAAATGCAATTGTACCAAAGTGTGATTAGTAGAAGTACTCTGGAAATGTTCCCAAGCATTTAGTTAACACCTAAGTTAAGTATATTTAAAATATATATTTAGGTAGTAGTTCGGATAGTCTTGAATCAATCCATTGCTGTAGTCTAAACATCTCTCAGTATCAACATAACCTTTGCAATTATATCAACAGTTGTTTGCATCACATACAACAGAAACATATTCATTGACCCCCAGGGTTTGATGAGGATCATTATAAAATAGCTTATGACATACCTTTAGTTCTGGCCCGTCGTTCCCCTGTTGCTCTTCATCTGAAAGGTATTAATAAGGGAGAGTAAACACAGTGTAAACTTGAGATGGATGAATCTGTTAGCTAAAAATAAACAGCAGCTTGAAACAGTTGAAGAAACGTAGACACTTCTGTCTGCGCACATATTAAACAGTTGAATGTCACACTTACCAGCTGTTATTCCTTTGACGAAGACTATCAGCAGAATGGTGAACAAATACAAGGTTCTTGCCGTCTTAAAATACCTTTTATAGCCCATTGTTGTTGATGTCGACAAGCTAACGCTCTGCTAGCTGTAGCTGCTGCTACTTCTATCGCCAAACATTTACAGTTGGGTCACACTATAATATTCAGCTTAAATAAACTCTCCGACGCTCAACAAAACGGAACCGTGTTGTCTTGATATAAACCCTAGTTGACTTTAGCTCCTGTGGCTGTCAAACAAGCTAACAGATTTCGATGCAACTTGCGCTAGCAGAGTTGTAACTGACGTTTAACGTTAGCTAGCTAACACGCTAGTGTTACATAGCCACACGAAAGACCAACCAAACAGCGCAATATTATGAATGAGACGCAACTCCTTAGTGTAATAAATGGTTTCCTACTACCTCTCGGTACTCTCAATCATCCAAGTTTTACAGCGACATGCAAGGCTTTTTATTTATATTAACCAGATACTACTTAGCTACCCATGTTAAGCTCCTACTACTGATCGAGACTTCCTATTCCCTCATTTGGACCAATCACAGCGCGTTCCGTTTGACAGTAGCCAATGAGCGGTCACCTACGCTGTATCAGCGAATCAGGTGCGTACACAATTTAGTTTCCAGTTGATGGGTTTGTCCGGTTTGTCCACGACACCAATACAGGTTAAGAAGATAATCACAAGTGCATACACTGTACAGTGAATCCGCATGTAAAGCATGTGTATTATTTTGTTGCAGAAAGGCAATTTTGAAAAAGGACCTGAATTGTTTATTTCCAAGTGTCATATTTGGTTTGTGTGTTGTTTCGAGTCAACAAAATGAGACAAGTACCGTAACAAGTGGGTTAGCAATCGTAAAAAAACTGATAGGTAAAATGTAATCTCTAAACTAATTGTGATATATTACTATATTACATTTAAGCTGTATGATTGCTCTCCTCAAACCACCGTATGAGTAGGCTCATGCCTATGTTTATCCACCTCAAGCATGAGAATAACATCAGACTAGGGCCATTCATTCTCACAGGAAATTAGCATGGCTCTCTACTGGTGGAGAAAGGGAAGTTAATGTAAGGAGGTATGCACATTTAACAGTGGAAATAATTGAGTTAATATGAAACGCAGAAATGTGTTAAATTGAAACACGAAAAATACATTCAAAGTATTTTGCACACATAAACACAAGCAGATGTGTTAATGAATAACTACATGTTTATTTACAGGCTGCTTTAGTGGTCATTCCAGAGGCAGTAATAAGACATTATTATTTGAATAACATTCACAGTAAACAAGATAATACAAGGCAGGGAGATGACACATTATTTGTACCCCACAGCTTTCCACAAGAGAAATATAAGTCATGTTTGACTTTATGGTGCAGATATGATCCTCCAGAGGCAAGGAGAAATCACACAGAATAGGGTTGCATTTATATTGAAAGCCAAGAGAAGCACAGCTATATGCCAAAAAGATAAAACGGAGAGATTTTCCATTCCCGTATTAATACAACCGTTTCCAGAGTATAGAGCAAAAACACGAAACAACTTAAGACAGGAAATGTAGTGTTCTTGAACTGTTCATGTGAAAGTGTATAATTAAAGAAGGCCATTTATACAGTCGGCTATTCATTCCTTTAAAATGATCAAGTCTTTGGTACAAAACTTGAAAGGCAATTGACGAATTTCATGTAAGCAAACACAGAAGCTATCATACATACAAATGTGTTTTTTCACATTTGTACACTGGCAAGTAGCAGTTTTGGATGATGGCTCACACATTAACACACTCAAACATCAACGTTTCAAAAGATGTAATGTACACCAATGTTAATGTACTAAAAAAAAGGTGATGTTGTCAATGCGTGCCCTGGTTAACCGTCAGAAACAACATCATTATGAAAGGTTTTGGAGTCACTGTTTGGCCCCCTCCCTCACTTCTAACTTACAGTACAGTAGTAATTCATCACTTTTCCACTCGATGACGATCCCATCCAGCTTATGACCCTTTAATATACACACATTCACTTTAATGTTCATCCCAACTAGTTACAGTGAAGTGCTTGGATATATTCACATTCAATTATGTAACCATACATTAAAATGTCAGGGCTTTAATATAAATAAATTAAAAGCCAATGTTATCAAATTAGTTATTCATAAAAAAACATGTCATTATGTTACGTAATTGAATCACGATTAAATACATTTTTTATATTTTTTTATTGTCCCAATCTATATTATTCCAGAATATTATTGCAGGCACAACAAAGTGATTAGTGGCAATAAATCACAGTATAAAACTGCAATACTCACAAGTATCACATAATATTAGGAATCACGGTGTGGCCCAAGTGCTGGGACGACCTGGGTGAAATAATGTATTTCCACCAAAAAGAAAAACAGTGGCTTTCAGGCCTCCATAGATGAAATGTATTAAAAAACAAGTGGTTTTCTTTAACCTGGACCACTCTCTGCTACTGTAGGCTTATGGTACCTGAATCCAAAAATGCCAACATGTAGCATAAGGCAGCGAGGAGACAACTGGGAAAGTCTGTGATATTCTAAATCGAAGCACATCATTTTCTTTTTCTTGTCTGAATATGTGGTCAACAAGCAATTCAACATTGACATTGGACTACTCATTGCTCTACTCAAACCAATAAGATGAAAGCATGCAACCACTTGCGTTTAAAAAATGAACACGTTGCTACATGCAAATGTTCTAAGTAGTCTCAAAACCAGCAGAAACCACAGAGAACCAGGTGGTGTCTCCTCTAAAAAGGACCCAGTGGTGAACATTTGGTGCAGTCCATTCTCCAGCAGGGCATGATGGTAAGAGTTATCTGTGCACAGCTCTGATGACCCATTCTGCAGTAGGGTTCAGCTCGAAGAGGTCTTTCATGTATGTTTCTCCATCCAGACATCGCTCCTCTGAGGGGACAACAGCCAGAGAGGAGGGGGGGCAGAGAGAGACACATAATGGAGTTACAACAATGATTGATTACTGCACTTGTCTCATACCTTTACACTCATAACAGGAAGTACGTTTTTCCTCAATCAGGCCTGCCTCGTGGCTCACTAGCAAGGTTATTAGCAGAGAATACTAATGATTGACATTGTAATATATTCGTTTGTAGCAGGAGCTAGACTTACTGATGTTTCCACCAATCTCATAGAGACACAGCTCTTCTTGTTCCACTGCCACTGAACTGCAGGGAAGAAGAAAGAAAAAGCGAGAAAGAGAAAGAGCTAAAAGGTAGAACAGGCATTTTTTTTAGGGGTGGTGTTGAATAAATTCCCTTACTGTATATTATTTTGCCATTTTTTTTATTTAAGTGATCGAAAAAGGGAAACCAACCTGCCAGAATTTGAAAAAATACAGTCCCCCACAATGTTGCGAATAGTTTAAACTGATGCTACTGTAGCTACTGCCTTAAGCAACTGAAAGGCTAAACTTATAGCAACAGTCATTTTCTGTATTTGTAAGTCTTTGCTGATATTGTCAGACTCTTTTTATTTTAGTCAGTCTTACTTTTTAGTCAGCAAACAAAAGGAGCTCTCTTAAATGAGCTGTGATTGGCCAAAGTCTACCTTTTTTTAAAGAGGATTCTATACATCTCTCAGACCAACACAATTCCAATATGCTCAAATCAAAAGGTTATTATACTGCCTACCCCAGATTTAAGGCAACATGAAGAGAGGTCAGGCCTCATATTGATAAGATAAAGTACCGTGTGTGTTGGTACAGTGCTGCATGTAGACATTACCTGTCCTGGCTGAGGAGCGTGTTAAAACATCAGCAGCCTGCAACTCTCCAGTAAAGCTGAACTTGCCATGGACACTTTATTGAACTGTGGAGCTTGAACTCGAATAAATCCCTGTGAGCTCTCCTGGTTGGAAATACCGACGGAGACAACAGAGAGGGAGACAGATAAACATACAGTCCATTATGTGTCATGAAACACGTTTAAAAGGAAACATTGTGGACTCATTACACACACACACACACACACACCCCACACACACACACACACGACACACACCACACACACACACAACACACACAAACAACACACACAACCCACACACACACCACAACACACCACACACACACACCTACACACACACACACACACACACACACACACACACACACACACAACACACACACACACACACACACAACACCACACACCCACACACACACCACACCACACACACACACACACACACACCACACACACACACACTTCACTGCAAGAATGAGGAACTAGGACATTCCTGCTCTGCTGTTTAACAAACTGCAGACTCGGTTTGGTCTAAAAGCACTTAGCTGAGAATGACAAGTGTTTCCCGTGGTTAATCACTATCCCACTATATTGTTAAGGGAGAACAGCAATTGTATTAATTGCTAGGATACGTAAATGTCCCCTCTGTGGGACTAATAAAGGTATTCTGATCCACAAGAAGCGACTGTGGAAGCAAAAAAAAATCGAATGTGTTCTCATTACTATTATATACGTCCACGTAAAATAAATATACTGTATATATAGTTATTGTCAGTTTGTTTGCTCTTAATGCCAACATGTTGCACTAACAGACTGTAGAAAGGATTGCACCAAGAGAACAAAATACCCACATATCATTCCTACATTTCACCACTAGATGTCACTGTTTCTCCACAGGCTATTGAGAAATAGTTCTGCTTTAGTCAGAGTCTGGTTTAAATAGTTTCCTACCATTTCAATTGAACTTCAATTACATTTTATAGCACTGCCATACGTGGTCAAAAAACATGGCCGTCCTGAAAAGTGTTTCGCTTCATTAACATTGTTGACATTGACTCCTTTTTGTAGAACTAGATTCCAGGCTGCAAATGTTTCTGACTCTACAGCATTGGCAAGTCCAAAAGTAAAACTGCATTTTTTATAAAATAGATGAAATTATTTCAGAAATTCACTTGTGTTGTTTTTATATAAGGAAATACTTTAAAAAAGGCACACAAGAGAAGATCTCATTTGTGTTGAAGAGCCCTCTGACATCAATTGTAAAGCACCATGAAGTACACTTATATGAACACAATAAAAAAAAAGTTGTATCTGGGAAACCTCTGTATGTAAAAGAAATGTGGTACAATCAAAATTAAAACATTTAGAGAAACCTTTGCTGTGGCTCTGAAACCTTCACTGGTTCTAATGTATTCCCACTGACCTCTACATGACCCCTACATTTAAACTCCTACCTCAGGAACAGCCTTCTCTGGTGGTTTGTCTGTGGTCATCTTCTTCAGCAGCTTCCTCACGGCTCTCTCTTTGTATTGTTTCCGATGACTTTCCATGTTCTGTTGTCTGACCTGGGTCATAATGAACTTTGGGATCTGGAGATAAGACACAGTGAACAGGAGATCTTATAACCTTGTTACACACTGACCCATCCTCCACACAAATATATATAATATAATGTCATTTTTTGAATGCTTACTGTCCACAGAAGATTCTGGTATCGAATCAGCAGCC